TTTCGCATTTAGCAATTCTTTAACAGCTCATAACCAAGAGAAATGTATTCACTAACCTTCAAATCACAACCAGCGGCCGTGGTTTGTAGTTTGAATCGTTCGTTTGCGACAAATATAGTCGGTTTATTCAGCCAAATGGCCATTCTGCAATACAAATCTCTAACAAATTGACTGGCTTTACTGGCTGCGAGTAATTAGAGCGGGCAATTTCCGGCATGCGCGAGGCGACATGCGCAGCTGCAAAAACGTCAAAGGTTCCGACTCAAGTTGCCCTTCTATTCATTTCTTACGTCGCGGTCACACTCATAAAAGCAACGTTTACTTGCTTGTTGTTGTTAACAGATAAACATTACACAGCGCGAAAAAACAGATTTGCACTAGGCTTTGCAACCCGGTGCAAAGGTGCCATTGCCGTAATCACATCAAATTTGTAAGGTTGCAAATATTTTGGCAAATTTAGAAACCAAATTATGGACGAAAATACCCACAAATTCACTTGTGCAAATGAAAGGTAATTTGAGCCAAATTTATCCTATACCCATTCCCTCTCAAAAAAGAGAATTGTATTTACCAATATGAGGGTAAAAATTTATTTACCAATTTGCTTTTCAAATTTGAACAAAATTTGCACAATAGCAAATTTGATGCGATTACGGCAATGGCACCTTTGCAGGGGGTTGCAAAGTTGGAGCAAATCTTTTTTTCTTCCTGTGTAAAAAGCTATCTAATAATCTAAAGTCCATTATATTAAAGGCAACGAATACACATTATTCTTGTGATTTCGTAGGCCTAACTAAGTTTAAACTTTAGAAAAATTTGTCTTTGTCCTTAGTGACCTTAGTTCAGGCGCAAATCGCTTCCCTGATCGTTATTGTATCTGCGAAGCAGATATATATGCCATCGCAAACGTACCGTACCGTATGTTAACACATAGCCATTCAGCGACGAGCTTATATAATTTAAACCAATTTAAGCCAATCCGCGATTCGTTTACATCAATTGTTTACATTGTGCCCGCATATAACATGCGAACGGGCATACTTTAGCCTCGTCAGGCCTCGTGTATAAATCGTGTTATTCTTTCAAAAATATCTTGATATTTTTATGAATTTATCTTAAATTGGATCTGGATGTCTTGTTTTCTCTACTTGCGATATTATTCCGAAGTTATTTATCAACATGGAATCTCATCCTCATCTGGTAAAAAGTCAAATACCATATATTACAGATTTAAATACCAAATTTGTGCAAATATATATCCCACATATTTAATACATGAGTTCGGCAAATTACTATGCTATCTATAGTTAATATTGCCGTATCGCGTAGAGTGTACATGAAATGCACTCTGGAATTTTATTATATTACACTGTGTAGAATGTTGGATATTTTCGAGGATATTTTAAGCCATTTGTCAACATAGTTCACAAAAAGATTTATGCAGTAAAACAATCCTTCTGTGACTTCTGTAATATTTTAAAATGGAAAATAACTTATCAGCTACAATCAGTGAATGAATACTCATATATTATATGGATGGATCTGATCAATGACACACAATGTAAAAAACTAAACTTGTGATACCTTCTACTCAAACAGATTTTCTCCCACAACACAAATTGTTTTTGTGTGGATATGCTGTGTTAAACCGAACAGTGCGGTATATCATTAACTGTGCACATGACTGAAATTGAATTATATACTTCACTCGTGACCTTCAAAACATTCTCCATTATTCAGTGGTCTTCGATATATGACTGACCTTTTTGCTACGGTAATGGGTGTTCCTCAAATAGTTTGTGTATGTTAGTCAACAGTTAACATTGGCAAATGTAAACAACAAGTGACGGAACTTTTGCCTCATATGATTACAATAAAGTTTTGAAAATTTGAGTATGGATTGAATTCGCGAGTGGCAGTTTACTAAACAGCCGGCTGTATAGACACTTCAAATATTGTTTGCATGAAATTTTTATTTCCTTACCGCATAATTATCCATTACAATCATAATCACATTATAAAATTAGTTAAATTTTCTTGAGAGTGTCAGTTGCCCTTGCTGCCCTCCCCGCTGTGTACAGTATTGCTAGATGTGTATTATGCTTGACTTTAAAATCTTACTTGCTATTATATTTATTACAATAAGTGATGAAATATTTAAATTGCCCCATGTCATCTTCATTATTCAGTTCCTTTCAACAAAAATACAAATTGTGAATCTAGTTTTTTCGCAGATACATGTACGCGTCGCGTACCTATTTTTTATTGTCATATTATATGTGTATTAAATAGGGATGTTGACATTGTATATTATATAATTACACGGGCAAGAACTAAATTACTTTGAAATTTTGAATTTGGTTTCTGCTTCAGCTTTCCATACCAAAATACCGTTTATTCATTTGACTAACTGCTTAGCGCGTTGTTGTGTAAGCAAAATAGTTTGAATCTACCGCGGTTCTGTCTCATCTTCGTCCCCAGGGCCTTTCGGCCGCGAGCGTCCTCCCTAGGCCCTGGGACACATGGAACCGAAAGTGCAAGAAAACTTGCAGTAGCTTCTAAAGCGCATGCTCTTGAATTGGGACACTTTAGCACCCGTAAGAATTTTCACAGTGAAGTATTAAGAAGAAACGAAGTATTTGTGTTGACATATGTTGATAGAATAATTTTGCCAAGCGAAAACTGCTCAACTTCTGCGAAATAGCAGTTCTCTGAGAAGCCAATCAAATCTCTTCCTTTAGTCGTCTATCCCAGAGCCCAATTTTCAACGAGTAACCGAGTGAAAATGGCTCTGGGGACGAGAATGGGTTCTGTCTCTATTCAAATTAAAAATGACATGTTGAAATTACTTGTTTATTTGCTTCCTAAAACTCCACATTTTATTGGCTGAATTATTTAATTCCCTTGAGATCCACATTCTAGCACGATTCAAACATACCCTGTAGTGTGTTTGGATCGTGCTTCGGCGCCTTTGAAATTTCAAGCAAATCGTGTCAGATTTCAAGCATGCTTGGGTTTTGTGTTTTGCGCGGTCACACTGGCAAGCGAGCTTGGAAGACATGTCACTTTTTTGCGCTGTCACATTGACAAGCGCGCTTGAAAGGTGATGTATTGAGCGATTCAAGTGGATTTAGTTCAAGCAAGCACAATTCTAGCGCTAGTGTGACCGTGGCCTTATTCTATGCAAGTGCCTCACGCACATAATCGTGCAAGGAACAGCAACAGTTAGCTCATAGCCGTCAATAGTCTTTAATCCGATCCCTGAGTTATTGCATAATTTAAATTACGCACGTCAAAGATTAAATATATAAAGATGGCCGACTTGCCGAACTAAATTTTTTAATGGAGACATGCCGAATTTTCGCAATAAAACAACGATTTTAAAAACATCTACTATCCGATCTTGATTTTGAAAACCAAATTTGAAAGAATATGTCAAGCTGCGTCTGTTGAAGAGAAGATTATTACACGAATATGTTTAAAACAAATGAAAACTTGGATAAATGACCTCCGAAGGAGTGAGATCTTATAAGTCAGGTGAGGATCTTATACGTCAGGTGAGGTTCTTTTCATTTCTTGATCATTTTTCGATAGTGTTTTGTGAAATTTCGAACCTTAGACAACAGATGTATATAAGACTATTGCTAACTGACACTAGCTAGCGTACAACCAGAGTATTTATATATATATATATATATATATATATATATATATATATATATATATATATATATATATATATATATATATATATATATATATATATACGAGTAGGTTTGTGTATACGAAACGCAAAGTGTGCTCAATATCATAAAGATAGAGCAAATGTAGAATTTCGCTTACCTCAAAATTCCGCAACAGTCTGTTTCATCAGTAAAGAATCATCAGGCGGTATGATTCTTTACTGATGAAACAGACTGTTGCGGAATTTTGAGGTAAGCGAAATTATATATATATATATATATATATATATATATATATATATATATATATATATATATATATATATATACTAATTATAATCTTAAAATTTTATTAATCGCTGCACAGTGTTTCACGCTTTCAAAGCGATCTTCAGGCGATACTACTCTAAATAGTTTGCTTGTGCCATTCATTCAACGGTCCGCTGACGCGAACGTGCGTTTAAAATTCCGCGCGCTAAATGAGTTTCTGTGGCGGCACTTTGAAAATAGTTCTGTTCGTTTGTTCAACGTCCTATCTTTGTGATATTTAATTATATAAAACTTCTCCTCTAAGCAAAGGTTGCAAGAATTTGCACCTGCTGTATAGGCTGATGAATGCGACAAAACCGACCACTTTATAGTATACGGTCGGTTACTTTGTTTTAGCTTCCATGCGTACTTAGAAAGTTCGGTTTCGTTTGAATAGCGAGGTGAGTTGATGGATTTCTTGTGGTTGGCGTATCTTGCTTTAAACCTCCCTGCTGTCATACCCATATACTCTTTCGTTTCACCGACGTCTGTTGTTGTAATCTCAGCCTTATATACGATGAATAAGGCTGAGATTACAACAACAGACGTCGGTGAAACGAAATATTATTATTATTATCATCTTTATTAGGGTCAATTAACCATATATTACAAAGAAAACATATAAAATATTCAATCAAACTATTATTAATAGAATATAGACCCTAAATGGGCAAGGTATAAACGGGACTCAAAGAACCATGCAAGATACCTTCCCAAACGTTATTAAAACTAATTATGTGACATTACACACACAAGACACAACCGCCTTGAGTGCACCACAGTTTACGTCCTATGACACGAACAGTCACGAAACAAGGACCACGTACATGACAAGTCAACATCATAAATAGAATCAACAATACTAGAGTATCTACGTTTAACTAAACATTTAAAAGAACTAGGACTAGACACAGTGTCCAAACATACATCTTTACATACAATGTTCCACAGTTTGAAAAACACGATTATAGTACGAACATTGAAAAGTGCTTGTTCTACAAATTTGACTTTGTAGAATGTACTTTGAGGTGTTACTCAGCCGAGTTCGACCGTGACTGACAAACGAGACACAGTTACTGACATCGACATTTACATAACCAAACAAAGCCTTGTACAGATACACCAAGTCCTTAACCTCTCTATCGAAGGTTAACGGCAGAAGGTCCAAGGCCAACAGACGTTCTTTGTAACTCAGCTCTCCTCTTCTGCTTATCATGATCCATCGCGTCGCCCGACGTTGCACTCTTTCAATCCGCTTTGAGAGTTGGATGTTGTTTACGGGCGACCAGACTTCCGATGCGTAGCATAATTGCGACTTCACGTGAGTCAAATAAAGAGTTCGCCTGGCTTTTATGTCTGTCAGTTGAGTACATGTTCGTTTTAATACACCTAACATTTTGTTAGCCTTGGAGATGACACAATTAATTTGAAGTTCCCATGAAAGTCCAGAGGAAGTGATGACGCCAAGATCCTTTTCACTGTCAACTCGAGTCAGACTTTCTGTTCCCAGTTTGTAATCATAAGTGACAGGAGTTTTCTTGCGTGTTATGGTGAGTACTTTACATTTAGAAGAATTGAAACGGATGTTGTTTTGTACACTCCAGCAATTCAGATTTGTCAACGATTGTTGTAAACATTTGCAGTCATCAGTAGAGGTAATTGTATTGTGCAATTTAGTATCGTCGGCATACAGGGCTGTTGCAGTTCCATTTTGGACAACATCTGGGAGATCGTTAATGAAGATGACAAACAATAGCGGACCGAGAATACTTCCTTGAGGTACTCCAGAGGTGACTGGTGACCATGTCGAAGCCACACCATCTACAACGACTCTCTGAGTCCTACCATTCAAATAGTCTGCGAACCAACCCAAAACTGATCCTGCCACACCGTACCCACGTAGTTTCTCGAGAACGATTGCGTGATCCACGGAGTCGAAAGCCTTAGCGAAATCCACATACAAGACGTCCGTCTGAATATTCTTATCTAGATCATGTCCAATAGTGTGGAATACTGATAATAGTTGAGTCACACACGAGCGTTTTCGAAGAAAACCATGTTGAGCTTGGCTAATGTGATGTAGAATGTGGTCGTGAAATCTAAAGTACACACAACGTTCCAATACTTTACTGACAATTGACAGTAACGAAATGGGCCGATAGTTTTCCGCTGGCTCCTTCGAATCTTTTTTATGAATTGGTGCGACGTCTGCTGATTTCCACTCGGAAGGAATCCAACTAGATGTAGGGAGAGGTTGAAGAGAGAACAAAGACTCGGAGCGATTTGTTGACTGCATTCTTTTAGAAGACGTGCAGGAATTCCGTCGGGACCACTTGCTTTGAACGGATCAAGATTTTTTAGGCAATTAGCAACGTCGTGTTCACTAAGCTCTATCTCCTGTAGTTGAGTGTCTGTTCGTAATTGGGACGAAGAGAAGGTGGAGGTTTGATGTTGATTGGGTCTTGAAGGTTGAAACACAGAGGAGAAATAAGAATTGAAAAGTTCAGCTTTGTCTGAAGGCGTTTTTGCTAGTTTTCCCTTGTAGGTAATTGTTGGAGTTTGGGTTGATCGATGATGGAAAACCGCCTTATGATAACTCCAAAATAGCCTCGGGTTGTCTTGAAAAGAGTCCTGAATTTTGAGCAGATAGTCACGGTGTTTTCTTTTCACAAGGTATTTGATGGTTTGACTAATTTTGCGTAGCTTTCGTTTTGCGATAGTCAGTGTGGCATTTGCGATATTTCTTAGGGCAGAGTATTTTTTTCGTATGAAATGCATCACTTCTCCATCGATCCAAGGTGGTGAGTTGGCGTCCTTGACATTTTTTGTGGGAACAAATCTATGGACTGCGTTTAAAAACGAATCTTTCCACTGCAGCCGACTTTCATTGAGATTGTCCGATGAAAATGTCTCAAGAGGATTGTGCCAGGGGTTTCAGAATGATTTGAAGTAGGCGGTTGTACCAAAAAAGTAGCCGGCTGTGACTGATAGTTAAAAAATCGCGCGGGGAGTGGAGCGTGCCCTCGCATGGAAATTTAAAAAAATTACCGCAAATCGCCGCAAATTAACAATCAAATAATATAGAATACGTAAAAAGACAAAGTACAACTATTAACATGTTAGATTTAGATGTCATTTGCATTTAGGGGCGGACTATTTGATTTTTGATGGGGGTTCGGAAGATTCAGTCTGTGCAAGAATTTTTTTTCCGCCCAGGGGAATAAGACAGATATTTTCTTCCTGTAAAAGTGCAGTGCAAGATATTCTTTTCCCAATATATTTCGCGGCAGGAGATATTTTTTTGCCCCTCATAATAACTGCTTGCAGTAACTTAATTTAAGGCTTTCATATAGCCATCGTCAGAGACGTTAGCCAGGGTTTTCAGTCAGAGGAGGCCGAGCCTGAATCCCAAGAGCGGCCAAGGAATTTTCACTGTGCTTTATTTTATATGGTTATGTCTTAATGTTCCCCACACTAAAGCGTGCAGGTTTACTTACAAAAAATGTATAACTGCACTAAAACCTAAGGCATGCAGGGATAGAGTAGAGTACTCGAAAGTGGGGGAGGTACAGTATATGAATGACCTGTAACCTTGGGGGGTTCGGGAGAAAATTTTAAAATTTCAACCTCGGAAATGCTATTTCCTGCGTTTTCAGCCATGGATTCGTCCAACAACTTTGCAGTACTAAGCCTAAGGAACACTTACTGTCCTTTATTTTAAACAAGGGAAAATCACAAAATGAGCTTTGATTAATATGTAATAAAACAAGATTTCAATAATGCGATTTTTAACTGCCCTCCGAAACAACAATGTTCCACCAAATATAGCTCTGTAGTTTTTCAATCGTTCATACAGATAGCTTGTTGTGGATCAGGCTGCATCCTCTTCAGAATTTTTTTTTAAATCTAGACTCTCTAAACTGGCATTTTCGCATTAAAATCATCGTATATACAGTACGTTCAACTTGCATCCTGTAGATGGGCCTTTGAAGTTTTAATAGTTTGGAGCTATGTTATCAAAAAACGCACACAGACACAACCATCCAAAAATACTTTTTCTACCATGCATATTAGATATGTATAAATAACTTATAAACTTGTACATATCTTAAGCCCAGATTTTCTCAGGGGGGGGGGCAACAATTTTGCCAGGGAACGCCACTGGCTATCGTATGTTATAGACTCCAAAGGCGCCAGAATCCCTGTGAAACAGTCCACTGTTCACCCAGTGTTCTTTTTAGCAAATGTGCCTGCTCAAAAATGCAAAATCTTGCAAGCCTGTGGACACAATACTGAAGTGAAGAACGTCAGTAGATTTACATGTAGGAATTTTTTTTTGAGCGCTTTCTTTTGCATGATATATTTTTTCCTCGATTGTATGTTGCATGATTTTTTTTTCTTTCTCCTTGGATTGCATGAATGTTTTTTCCGAAATCTTTCAACCCTCCTCCCCCCCCCCCCTTAAAAATCAAATGGTCCGCCCCTTATACTTGTAAGTGACAATGTACTTTAATGTGCTACTTGTAGTTTAATTTTTACAGCTGCATGAACAGAATGACAATGTACACTACAGTAATAGTAATTATTTTATGAGTACGAAATCATTAATCAAATGATGTTATATTTATGTACGTAATGAACTTCACTTCACCACTTCTTCTTTCTTTTGCTATGTTTGGTATTATGTATTATAATTTATCTTATTGATCTTCCAAAATAAGTGATGTTTTGCTTGAATTCAGGGCTTGAATTTTATCGCGGCAATTGATGTAGAGGGAGAACAAAATCAGTGCTGTGGATCATTGCGGCAATGACGGCAATTTTTTGCCGTATAGTATAATTTTTAAGCTCATGTTCACTGTTCATTACTATTTTGATACTTGAATTCAGATGTTGATCAAATCATCCGTAAATTACTATTTTAGTCTCAGTTTTCTTCGAAAAAAAAAACACTAAAGAAATACGTAAACATGTTTCTAGCTTGTCAGCAATCCAAAGTCTGTACAATAAAATTAAATTTTTATTACAGCAATTTGAAAAAAAAAATGCCGTGGAAAACTGACAAAATTGCCGTAGACAGCTGTTACGTTCTACGCACGGTTCTACGGCAATTTTTAACGCCATTGCCGTCAATTGATTTCAGGGAAATTCGAGGCCAACTTGAATTCCAATTGGAACATAACAAACATCGTGTTGGTTCGCTTGTACTTTTGTATATAATTTTTTTCCTGTGAGCAGACGAAAAGTAGCCGGCGGTAAAAGTTCAAGTAGCCGGCGGAACTCCGCCGGCCGCCGGCTTATTCTGAAACCCCTGATTGTGCGTTAAAAAGCTTCGGAGTTCATCAAAGCTTCCTCGCTTATAATCGAAAACGTTTCGTGTAACTGCGTTAGCACGATGGAATGCTTGCTGAATTTCAAACTCGACGATGTAGTGATCAGAAGGAAAGTTATATTGATCTGGTGACCATGTCATTACATTTTTTACGATCTCAGGACAGTTACATAACAATAGATCGAGTGTATTTCCTCTGACGTGGGTGGGACCAGTAACAAATTGTTGCAGAAAATGATCACCAACTAAATCGCAAAATATCTCTTCTAATTGACTGCCGTTGACTGTAGGGGTTGGATGATCCAGTGACCAGTTAATTGCAGGAAGGTTAAAGTCTCCAATCAGTATAACGCAACTAGACTCGGGAGCATCTTGAAGAGATGAATTCAGGTGTTGTATTGCATCAGGACAAGAGTCAGGAGGACGGTAGAAGGTATATAACAAGGTTGATTTGCAATTCTGCAGCGCAAGTTCGACAACGACAAATTCTGTGTTTTGTTTTTCAAGATCAAGTCTACGAGTTGCATGTATGTTGTTCTTTACAGCCACAAGCACGCCACCACCGATCTTTCCCACTCTGTCGCGCCGGAAGATGGAGTAACCAGGCAACAGTTCACTACTCAAGACCGTTGCGTTTAGCCATGTTTCACAAATACATACAATGTCATACGTTGCACTGTACACCAGATGTTGCAGATAGGTAATCTTGCATTGTTTTGATGTGCAGTCCGTAATTGATGGAACAAACGCTTTCAAACTTCTCGCGTTAAGGTACAATACATTTAATGCATCCGTTTGACGGCGAAAAGAATGTCCTTGGGCAGGATTCATTTCCGTGGACTTCGTCAAAGGTCCTGGGTTTGTCGCAACATCACCAGCAAGAAGAATTAAGAAAACAAGATGAGGTGTTTTGCGGGCAATTTGTAGGTTAATTCCATAGCGATATTTCAGCGGGTAATTAAACTTCCGTAAATTTAGATCTCGGGTAGCTGTCCAAAGCCAACACATTCTCTCTGGTAGCACAGTAACCTCAGAATTAATAACAAAATTCGAGGTAGCTTCATGTCGTTGATAACCACATCCAGTTTTCAAACACAACCACAGAATAAATACAAAGACTATGAAAGTTCCAAATCCGTCTTTTATCCAGTAAAAAGCATTCTCATTCCAATTACGAACAGTTAATTTTAATTTTGTTCCATTGTTCGTGCGCGTTTTTCGTTTGAAAAACGCGTCACCACTTGCGCGTGCGATGTTTGCTGACGACGTGCGCAAGCCCAACGGTCGAGTGAAAAGTATAAACAAAAATCCAATGACACAACGAAACATTTCAAACAAAATTCACTCACAAATTCACAACAGCGATGAAAGTTTATTCACAATTCTTGATAACAAACACTTTAGACAGAAAATTCCACAGTATATTTTACGAAACAGCTAGATAAACGCTCCAAATAAACACGAAACGCTGCAGCGCCAAAGCGAGCGACTGCACGCGCAAGCGCGTATCACGCAATCCCTATATTGGTATGACAGCAGGGAGGTTTAAAGCAAGATACGCCAACCACAACTAAGTACGCATGGAAGCTGAAACAAAGTAACCGACCGTATACTATAAAGTGGTCGGTTTTGTCGCATGCATCAGCCTATACAGCAGGTGTAAATTCTTGCAACCTTTGCTTAGAGGAGAAGTTTTATATAATTAAATCTCACAAAGATAGGACGTTGAACAAACGAACAGAACTATTTTCAAAGTGCCGCCACAGAAACTCATTTAGCGCGCGGAATTTTAAACGCACGCGCGCATGATGCAATCGCGTCATATATATATGTATATATATGTATATATATATATATATATATATATATATATATATATATATATATATATATATATATATATATATATATATATATATATATATTGGGCCTCATCAGTGTAGTGCTGATGAGCAGGATGAAAGTAACCACTATAAATAGTTACCTTTGATGTCTCACGAACGTGGGACATCAAATCATTGCCAGAGTGCTCAAACTGCAAGCAGTGAGCATGCGCACAATGCGTAAGCAGCAATGGCTCATCCTGTAGAGTGCTCAATATGACACAAAGGCCATAGAGCAATATCTAACTACATATACATATATATATATATATATATATATATATATATATATATATATATATATATATATATATATATATATATATATATATATATATATATATATATATATATATATACAAAGACAATTTATTGCAGAGTTTGATCGTTCTATTTATAATAAGACTTCACAGTCTGATGATTTCAGATATATATATATATATATATATATATATATATATATATATATATATATATATATATATATATATATATATATATATATATACAAAGACAATTTATTGCAGAGTTTGATCGTTCTATTTATAATAAGACTTCACAGTCTGATGATTTCAGGTTATTATAATGTCAAGTGCTATTTGTATGCATGCGTTGCTTGGATATATAGTTTTCGTTAGACACGAAAACTCATTGTGCCTGTATCGAGTATCATATCAGAGACCTCGACCAGAACTTGAGTGTATAAACCATAGAAATAATTAATAGACATCATGTCTTTATTTCTATTCTATAAACATGCCTTTTATATTTGGGTTGCAAGCTAATAAACATATATAAGCTATAAATTTAAACTTGATAAATTTATACTTCTGATAAATAAAGAAACAAATTGTGCAAAAAACAGTTTATATTTGACAATTGTGAAATCAAGGTCAAAATCATTTATTATTATGTCAAATTTCTTAAAAACTAATATATACATTGAAATTATCAAAAAATATTAGGAATACACGTATAAAGCGAGAATAAATTGGAATGAATTACGTTTTTACTTTTGAAAAACTAAATTTTGTGTATTTTAGTATTGATCATTCACTACTGCGCACAAATTTTACCATGTTTTTAAACCAAACCAACCCACCCCAGGGAAACATGGGACATAGGTGGAGGGAGGGGGGGGGGGTGAGAGGTGTAGCTTGAGGACAAGATTAGGCATGATTACATGTGGGCTACCCATAATCCTATGGGTGGTCTATTGTCGAATGGACGACTGGTGTTTTTGCACAAGAAGCCATGTTAGTGTTCTATGTTTAAAGTTATTCATCATTCTACTTTAAATATTCCATGTTTGAAACTTTTACTAAATGTGTTGTTCTAGAAGTGGCTTTGACCTGTTTTGCTTGTCCCTATGTGTGGGGCTTTTTCTTTCATTAGTCTCTAAAAAAGTCTATTTATGCCCATGTTTCCCCCGGGGTGGGGAAGGGGGTGGGGGTTGCATGTTTCCGATATGGCAAGTGTATTAGGCACTGTTTCAAAGCTAATTTTACTGAGTGCAATAGTCCAAATAAGCAATAACCCACCATGCTTTGCATGCTAAGAGTTTAAAGTTTTATGTTGTTGGGAAGACAACCTTAATCGAATTGGCTATATACAAACAAAATGTTTAATAATTACAATAATATTTAATTATTGTTATATTATATGGGATCTGTTATCTAGTAGCATTTTAATATAATGAGGGATATGCTTTAATATCATTTTCCTCGGTAACAAAAATAATTGCTATTTCTTGGCAGCTTGAGTGCCATCAGAGAAAGCAGTATCTAACACAACTCTGCAATTATATAATGATCTAACACAACTCACATTATGTTTGAAGAGGTGCAAATGTTTAACATTTAACAATACTATAAGTTTTGTATACCCCAATAAGGGTTAAGTCTGTCAATGTGGAATATACAATAAAAATAATCAAACTCAGAACATCGAAATGTATATAGAATATTTGACAGTATTTTCAAATTGTATAGTTAAGCATTCCACAAAACATTGTTGATCAACAATCCATGGTCATCGCCTTTGCCCAAAAAGTCAAAGAGCAGATTTGTAGTTCTTTTAACATGGAAAGTCTATCAACTAAAAAGAGAATAATTTGGTTATTTATTGGATGTATTTTACAGAAATACCATTAGATGAAACACAGCTGCACACACAGAGACAACCAGTGTGTGGTTGTACCTATTATAAGCAGGGACCGTCAATGGTCAAACAAATAATGTCTAAATACAAAATAATGCTTACAGATTATAAATGCAAGTCGTTGGTTAAGTACACTGCCTGTCCAACTGATATTGTTATTTATTTAAGCATATAGAAATGTGTTCATATTGGTACCTGACTCAATTCAATAAATTTAAATCCCCAAAATTTAAGTAAATTAACATTATAGTGTTTGGTCTCAAAGAAATATTTTAGGTCTAAATGCTTTTACAATCTCTGTGTATAAGGAAACATTTTGGTACTAGCCTAACAAAATAATATTTCTATATATTTGAATATTGTTTGTATTAGTATATTGTTTGTAATCTGTACAGTATATAAAAGCTCTGCATGGTTCTACGCATCCTAAATATGTTTTTAGTGTCAGTTAGCAATAGTCGTATATGCATCTGTTGTCTAAGGTACGAAATTTTACAAAACACTATCGAAAAATGATCAAGAAATGAAAAAAATCTCACCTGACTTGTTGACAGTACAAGATCTCACTCGTTCGGAGGTCGTCTATCCAAATTTCCGTTCGTTTTAAACATATTCGTGTAATATTTTTCCGTTTAACAGACGCAGCTTGACATGTTCTTTCAAATTGTGTCCTCAAAATAAAGATCGCACGGTAGATATTTTTAAAGTCGCTGTTTTATTGTAAAGAACCAAATGTTTAGCTTAAATTCGCTGATTGCATGTAGGGCATTTTTGTCCATTTTTAAATGGGAGCGCAACTATGCATGCTATTACAGACTAATAGCATGGATTTTCGGGAGATTAGTGATTAAATGTCCCCTTACCCTCGCAAGATTTGCGGAATTCCCACGAGCTTCGCCCTTGGGGATTCCGCAAACCTGCCTCGGGTTACGGGGCCATTTGATCACTAATCTCCCTCAAGCCATGCTATTACCTATAAGAACACGGGATTTATATATCTCATACCTAGCGTATTAGTCGCTTTCCTATTGGCTACAAGGAGGTGCGTTCAACCTCTAACTCACCTGCTGAAGTAAGTTTACTGGATGGATTCGAGATCGATGTTTCGGCGGCGGCCATTATATTATGAAATGATTTGAACAAATTTCAGACGAAGATTTAAATAAAAAATTAATTAACTGTTTTTAATTGTTTTATAATTATTATTTTTTTTTATTTTGTTTCATGAAAATGGAATATTCTGTATTCAAAGAGGAAGAGAAGAAAGATGGCCGCCAAAATTTGCTCGGCACGGGCAGGTTCAATTGGCAATGTTTTCCAGAATGTGTGCATTTTCTCTTTACAAGAATAAGGGAATGTTGGAGGGAATTTCATTAGCTTCAAGCTAAGCCTAAGTTTGTTTGTTCGCGTAGTATGTTGGCAGCTAAAATGTTCGTTATACAAACAAGAACTTATATACTAAAATGCGTAAATTCTTCAGTACTTTTTACCGAAATGGCATGTGATAAAAAACAAACATACTTGCAGGTTCCGTGAGTCCGGGATTGGACGCACCTCGAGTGCCTGGAAGTTTCCCGAACTCACCTCACTTCGCTCGGTGAGTTCGTGACACTTCCATCCACCCTCGGTGCGTCCAATCACGGCCGACTCACCTCCCTGCAAGTATGTTTGTTATAAAATCTCCCTGCATGGAAGATCCACATAAATTCCAAACTTAAAATGTACTAATTCTCTTTTACTCTTTATTTGTACAGCTTTGAATGAAGCTTCAAATAAGTAAATCCTGAATCAAAGTTTGTTGTTTATGAACAGTCCCTGAATTTTATTAAATTATTTATTTATTCAATTTATCCTATTCCGCATTGTCAGCAGTTTCCTGGAAGGTTAATTTCATATCTTTAAGCTTCGAGTCGAACTCAGTCGTGTACTATACTGTTAAATTACGTATTACAAGTACATTACAATTCATGTGAATGGGGCGTGTGCAGTAAACCATGAAAATAAAAACAAAATTTTAACGCGCGACTTTTCCATTTCGATTATGCATCACTATCTTTCAAACCCTACTTACAAGTAAATATGAATATGACATCGACAAACGTTTGTTGTGAGAAACAAACTCGTTTATTTATACTCCATACGCGGGGGACCCAAAACAAATCATGCAAAGAGTGAATCTGAAAATATCGAGCATTTATAGGAAAAGAAACAAATGGAAAAAATTCCTGCACAGCTTCCGCACCACGAAAAAGTTCTTGGGTACACATGCAGTAAATAATGCGTTTT